CTCGTCTTTTTCTTTCCCTTCAAAAACCAAACTTCCCTCACTCAACCCTCATACTGCTCATCAACATCCTCTTGATCATAGTCCTCATCCTCGTCAGCAGTCGCATCCTGATACTGCTGATACTCGGCCACCAAATCATTCATATTACTCTCGGCCTCAGTAAACTCCATCTCATCCATACCCTCACCAGTGTACCAATGCAGAAAAGCCTTGCGCCTGAACATGGCAGTAAACTGCTCGCTCACCCGCCGGAACATTTCCTGGATCGAAGTCGAGTTGCCAACAAAAGTCGACGACATCTTGAGTCCAGTTGGCGGAATGTCACACACGCTCGACTTCACGTTATTCGGAATCCATTCCACAAAGTAGGACGAGTTCTTGTTCTGCACATTCAGCATCTGCTCGTCAACTTCTTTTGTGCTCATGCGGCCGCGGAACATGGCTGAGGCGGTGAGGTATCGTCCGTGACGAGGGTCCGCGGCACACATCATGTTCTTAGCATCCCACATCTGCTGAGTTAACTCGGGGACTGTGAGGGAGGCGTAGTGCTGAGAGCGGTGGGAAGTGAGTGGGGCAAACCCGACCATGAAGAAGTGGAGTCGGGGGAAAGGGATAAGGTTGACTGCCAGCTTTCGGAGGTCTGAGTTAAGCTGGCCCGGGAATCGGAGGCAACAGGTGACCCCGCTCATGGTTGCCGAGATCAAGTGGTTCAGGTCGCCGACTGGGAACAAAAGATTAAATTTCAGGATAAAATGAAAATGAAAATGAAAATGAAATGAGAATCTAGGAAGACTAACATGTTTGTATACAAAAATTTTCACTTTTTTTGGTTAATTAGATTTAATTTGGAAAAAGATGGTATGGTTAGTTGTTAGTGAGATTTTGGATTTATATTAAATTAAAATAATATTTAAAATAAAATAATTAAAGTTGATCTGATGTGTAAAAGTAGGAGAGAAGGAGAGAGATGATATGAAGTGATAGTTAGTTAAAACTATGTGAGTGAATGAATAGTGAATTAAAGTAGATGTGATGCGTAAGAATGATTGGATGATATTATTTAATTATATTGATAATACTGAGGATATTGGAGTTGAGTTAAAGTGAAGTTAGTTTTGAATTCAATGAAATTTTTAGTGAAAATTTTTATATACAAACATGCTCTAATTTTCCCCTGTTAAGATACTGCCAAAAAAAAAAAATTTATGAGTACCCAGATTGTAAAGATTACATTTATGAAAGCAGACTTGCAAAATACCCATTTGTTGTTTACTTTTGGTTGAGACTGTAATTTATGGAATAGGAACAGATGTGAAGGGACATTTGTGATTTGGAAAAGCTATTCTATCTCGAGCTCAACAGATTAAAGATGAGAGTAATGTTATGGTACTGGCTAATACTTACAGCTTGGGGTGCTGAGTTTAAGGGTTCTGAAACAGATGTCATAGAGAGCTTCGTTGTCGAGGACCATGCATTCATCTGCATTCTCAACCAATTGGTGGACAGAAAGAGTAGCATTGTAGGGTTCGACCACAGTGTCGGAGACCTTTGGTGAAGGGAAAACGGAAAAGGTGAGCATCATTCTGTCTGGGTATTCTTCCCTGATCTTGGAGATTAAGAGGGTGCCCATGCCTGAACCTGTGCCTCCACCGAGGGAGTGACACACCTGGAATCCTGATTGTTTGAAAAAAAAAAAAAAATGAACAAAATTAAGTCAGGTATTAGGGAAATTCAATTTGCAATTGGAAAAAATGGATCAACCCTTAGCTGATGCTTATCAATACAAGATTGCATGTCAAATTCAATAAAGAAAAAGACATAATCTGTAAAGTAGTCAGAATATCACCAATCCATTTGTTACAAAGTAAAAAGGGAAAATTGGATTTACATTAATAACATCTCATGAATGTTGTCCTAAGATTCATAAGTCTGGAAACAACAATCACATACTAACAAAAATTGCATACATTCAGTTTTGATCCATAGGAAAAACAGGTAATTTAACCCCTGTGAGTCACAGAATTTCACATACAAAATTTATATGATGATGCACCTTAACATATCATTGTTGAACAAATCACAATATGAGATTTAAAACATCTTACAACCCCAAATTTCCTTTAGGCTGAAAACAGTTTGCATATAATATTCCCTTATGTAAAGCAGAGCTGACAAGGAAAAGAGGATATCATAACTGACTAACAATGAACTCAATAAAATCCCGATCAATAAATAAAGCAATCACATAGGCCCAATTACAGGAAAAGATATCCGAATTTCGATTCTGCAATCCCAGATGCACATCTGTAACCACATTGCACAAAAGTTGGGACCATTACATCAAATTCCAAATCTAAAGCAAGAAACAAAATGCAACATAAACCAATATTAAAATGCAAAAGACTATTCCATATCCCACAATACATTAGGGTTGTTAACACAAAGCGTATCGAAAAAATCGTTCAAACCTTGGAGGCAATCGCAGTTCTCGGCCTCCTTCCTGACCACGTCGAGCACGGCGTCGATCAGCTCCGCGCCCTCGGTGTAGTGGCCCTTGGCCCAGTTATTCCCTGCCCCGGACTGCCCGAACACGAAGTTATCGGGCCTGAAGATCTTCCCGTACGGCCCGGATCTGATGGCGTCCATGGTCCCCGGCTCCAGATCCATGAGCACCGCTCGAGGGACGTACCTCCCGCCGGACGCCTCGTTGTAGTACACGTTGATGCGCTCCAGCTGCAGGTCCGACGCGGCGTCGCCGCCGAACTTGCCGGTGGCGTCGATGCCGTGCTCGCCGCAGATCACCTCCCAGAACTTGGAGCCGATCTGATTCCCGCATTGGCCTCCCTGGATGTGGAGAATTTCCCTCATTTTCGCTCGAGCTTTTTTCTTATTTTCCCTTCACTGCGTGATTTGTGCGTTTTCTATGGGGAAACTGTACGTGGGTTTGTGATTGTGAGAAATGTGCGTGGTCGTGGGGAAGGTATTTAAAGGGAGATGGTGTGAAAGGCTACCATTAGTTTCCCTGCAGTGCCTGCAATGGCGTGGCTGGTTTACACGAGAATCGCGTTTGGGCATGCGACATGAAAACTGGCGATGGTTTTTGTAAGATTTATTTATTTATATAAAAATAAAAAAAATTAAGTGGACATAAATAAAAAAAAAATAAAACAAGTGGAAAAATATCAAAAGCACGTATTCCCAGAATACGTTTTTTAAATAAAAACGTATTCCTAAAATACGTTTTCGAAAAAAAACGTATTCTAATAATACGTATTCATTAGAAACAATTAATTAAGGTGATTAACGTAATTAAATTAATTAAAATAGCTAAAAACGTATTCAGGGAATACGTTTTTGGTTAAAATATTTAAAATTAATATTTTTGATTTTAAAAAACTTATTTTTTTGGAAAATAATATTTGCAAAATTAAAACGTATTTTGAAAATACGTTTTTCAACCTAATTTTATCCCCAAATTGATTGCGCCCTAATTTTATCCCCAAATCGATTTTGACCTAATTTTACACAAACAAAAAACGTATTTTGAAAATACGTTTTTCAACCTAATTTTGCCCCAAATTGATTGCGCCCTAATTTTATCCCCAAATCGATTTTGACCTAATTTTACACAGTACAAAAACGTATTTTGAAAATACGTTTTACTGTGCAAAAACAGCAATTCACAGAAACTAAATTACAAAAACACACCTGTTAATCGAGATCGATTCCACAACCAAATATAAATTCACAAAACCCATATCAACCATGTCAAAGAAACAATAATGAAGCACAATAATTCACTTTCCAAATATAAAATTCCAAACAAGTTCAAATATCATTACACATAAATCCACGAAAGAAAAAAATAAATATATATGTCTACAAATTGTCTCCTAACTAGGAGTGTATCGATTGGTAGGGTTGCGCGGTCGGTTGCTAATCCGACGCTGTGGTGGTTGTGCAGAAGACGATGCTGTGGGTGTGGTAGGTTCTTGTTCTTCTTCTTGAGCTGAGTAATTAAGTTTTTTANG